GTATTCTTGAAGACTAGAATCGAGAGTAATACTGGGCGCGAACATGAGCTTCCTCTTCCTTATCCTCTATTGCTTAATTGGCCCGCCCTTCGTCTGTCGTTTCCCTACATAGCTCTCGCTTTGCTGGGACTTCCGAGCCGTCCCTGTGGAAAAGTGTTTCTACCTTCACTTATCTGCTTACCTGCTTTTACTTACTCACTTCCCTGCTCCTATGTACAACGTATTGCAAAAGACCCAGTTTGGGAATTGATAAGTCTATTAGTTCACCATTTTACTTCCATTAATTATTAAATGTTTACATGAATTATCCAAATTGATCAATAGGCACTATTACAAGATGAGGGGGCTTCCTCTGAGAATAACTGGGAATAGCCTAGCAGGGGAAGACATCGGGGAACACGGCTCCTAGAATCTGAAAAGCAAATGTTTCACGCTGTTTCAAGTGCTTGCCACAACAATGCCCCTGTTTCTCGTAATCTTTATTGTTTAATTTTTCCAATAGAGTGTTCATTTACTTGTAATCAATTTCAGTGTGAAACCCACCCTCAAGAAGGTTTCCAAGTATGATAACAAATTCAAGAAGATGGCTGAGAACGAGAAGACTAAGGTAAATGTCCTTCTTTATTTTGTGTTGCCTATAGCCAAGAACAGGGTCTTGTGTGGATTGAAGTCCCCTCCCGATCGTCTTTAATTGATATATTTATCGACAGAATTACAAAATTATCTATTAAGGGCGAGAAGAAGGCCGACTTCAGAGCAAATCTCAAGGTTGTAAAGAAGGAGACTGCTATTGAAGATATCATGGCCAAGGTGAGCACCTGACGTTCTCTTCTATCGATCTCTTGGCAATCAATACTAACATTATTACTGCAGACAAAGAAGAACACGGACAAGCCAGACTGGTCGAAGAAGCCTGCCGCTGAGAAGAAGGAGGAAGAGGAGAAGAAGGAAGCCCCACCACCAGCTGAGGAACCAGAAGCAGAGGAAGAAGGTGACTTATTTGAAAATCGATGGAATCCTCAATTTCCCGATCCAGCTCTGACCTCTTGACGTTTTAACTTTACGATTCTTCGAGGATTTAGGGCTAGACGCGTTTTGCGGTAACGCGCGTGCGCAGACGCGGCGACTCAGGCTTGGCCGCGCACGGCAATAAACCGTCTTCGCGACAGAAGCGGGTCGTCTCCGTTGCGCAATGACTTCTGCGACCGGATGCCCGACAGGAAGGCCCGTCGCGCGGCAAGAAGGCAAGAGTCAGCGGACGAGTCGCAGCGCGTACTATAGGGATTTCGCGTCAAGTTAAATAGAATGTCCCACTGCACGTCCTACATCGCACACACGCTGCAACTCGTCCGCTGACTCTGCCTTCTTGCCGCGCGACGGGCCTCCTGTCGGGTACCCCTCTGCAACTGCTCTCAAACCTGTTATGGTTGCTCCTTGGTTATTCCTTCATTACGATTATGATTTTAGGCGGTGCAGAAGAGGAAGAAGAGGAGGAGGAGGAAGAGGAGTAAATCTGACATCCAAAACAACGATCGATCACTCTCATCTCTCATCATCTACATGTTCGTCTCCTCGCTTTCGACACTTCTTGAACAATTTCGTTATTGTGTGAGTGTGTAAAACGTGGCTCATGATAACATATTCCATTCTCGCCGGCTCTAGATGTATATGAAGGCATTTCTGAATAAACATTCAACTCGTACCGCGCTTTCCCCCAACAACTCTAAGCTGATGAAGAGCTAATTCCAATTGCAATCCTCATGAGGGAAAAAATTTATCAAAACGTAAACTCGTCCAACTTTAGTACCAGCACTCGGCGCAGATAAATCTAACGAGCAGATAAACTATTGGCAGTCTATGCTTGATTGTTATGAGCAATGGCGGACGTGAGTCTCCCAGATGCAGATGGCGTAAACTCATGTATAGCTTCAATACAGAATGAACGTTTGCCTATGTACGCTATCTCTGGTTCGCATCCGCAGAGTAAGTCCTTGAAAGTCTGCGAAAGCCCTTTGGTGGTTACTTCCTAAATTGGTCTGCCAAGAAAATTCCAATACTGCAGGATGCCTTTTGCACAAGTGGACTTCAGAACGAGTGTTTGGAGCAGGTGTGCACTGCGGGTCTGACAATGAGATCACCGCTTCCGAAGACAAAATTGGCGGTTCGATTCCCATCCGGATGTTGTAAGTAAACATTTATCAAATGATAATTCACTGAAAAGCAAGTAAAATGGTTGAGGCCGGAGAAACGGCAATCTCCTATCCCCATTTGATTTCACATTCCGAGGAAGTTAACCACGGCTATTGATGCGTAAGTGCTGGGAGTGAACAATGGTTAGAGCAGCGGTAGCCTGTTTCGGGACTGGAAACTCAACTGAACACGAGCCCGTGCCGGACGTCGTTGGATGTGGAGTGCACGGCCCGTTCCTGAGCAAGTTCGACTAGTGCCATGCGCTTTCATACCATCGTGAGTTCGAGAGATATCAAGCTTCTATTGGAAGAGACTGTTCAAAATGAAAGGAAGGAAATCCATTACATCAGAAGAAATGCAATTTTCAGCGTTATCCTCATAAACATTGAAAGTTGAAACACACTGTAATGCTCTTTTACATTCTGCAGAAAGTGGAAGACCTCTACATTTCAAAGCTTTTTTCACTTTTTTCACTCGCAAAGAATTTATCACGAAAGAAGCTATGTTCTCTCAAAGAGTGATGACACTACAGAGGCCTAATCATGTAAAAATCCTCTGTGAAGCAACTTTTGCCACACTAAATATATAAAGTCATTTTGACAAGCGCTGAATCGAGAAAATGTTCTGGTTTACGAAGCTATATTTCTTTCCTGATTCCACGAATCTGAGAGAAACTGTGTCTTTGAAAGTGCAAAACTCGCGCAGCTCAAAATTTTCCTCGTTAGATACACCAAACGATTTTTCTCGTTAATTCCCACAATTCCTATACCAGCTAGAAAAAATTCCTCGACAGATTTCCAAATTCTTCTTGTCATTCGAAAATCTCCTGTGAATAAGGTTATGGTAATTTGAATACAAGTTAATTTTGCAAGCGTGTTCCTCTAATAGATAAGCTGCTCCAACATCAACGCATGCGTCGCATTCCATTCCTTCAAGCAACAGTCCAAGCAGGGTTTCAACCATTCGATCCTAAGGGGTGGAAGCATGCCCTAGTCAAGTACATAGGAAATGTCACTGATTTGAAAACTTACCTTTGAAAGGCGTTGGAAGGGGGTCTAACGCCGTCGAAGTGGGCGGGTCCACCGAGCCTCGGTGCGGCCGCCCACTTCAGTTGTGGAGAGTGCGTGATTGGCTGCGCAGACATTTGCGGTCATTTCGGGACCACCGGGACTATTTGAGGTCAATCCTTTAAAAATCAATGTCGATCATGCTTAGAGCGCGTACGTTTTGGTCACTCATTCGAATTGGATTTCTTCGCGAATGTTTTTTTTTCGATTTCCATCATCGGATTCCCACTTTCAACAAGCGGCCTCAATGAAAATGACAAAAATTTGGGTATCGTATGCCTTTGCGGAACAGAATTGCGTGCAAAGTGTATCCTGTAAGGCCTTTTGGCGCCGATCAATTCATCCATTACCCTAGTTCTATACAGTCTGATAATTGCAGACCAACCGTTGCACACGTTGGAACTAATTCTACCTTTCCATATGAAGTTTCCGCTCCGATTCCTTTCTAAAGTACGTTTTTTGGAATAGCTTTTCCCTGTGAGCCTTGCAATTACATCTTTGTCTTTGTCGAATGCTGAATGCGAGAATGGCGTTTTTTGTACAACTTAATTCCGAGTTTCCCGGCAACGCTAGTAATATAGGTGTCAGTGGAAATCATTGACATTAGGAATGCTGTCGTTAAGCTCAACGACGAGTTCCTCGCCAACGCACCTTTTCTCTTGAGATTAAACTCAGT